ATCACTTCCCTACTCCTGCTGGCCACGCGATTTCTGATACAGGCCAGGATGCCATTGGCCTTCTTGGCCACCTGGGCACACTGCCGGCTCATATTTAGCTGCCTGTCGACCAACACCCCCAGGTCCTTTTCTGCAGGGCAGCTTTGCAGCCACTCTTCCCCAAGCCTGTAGCGTTGCATGGGGTTGTTGTGGCCGAAGTGCAGGACCCGGCACTTGGCCTTGTTGAATCTCATACATGCAGAACTTCTCGAAACTCTCCCATGGACATATTAACATACAAATAACTCTCCCTCAAGAGCCAGGGGATCCAGGAAATTCATTGTACTCTGTCACTGAGATACAAGAATAAATTCTGAATTTGCTTGGCCTTTGTCTTTTCATTTTAAATAATTGATGATTTTTTTTACAGTTTGCAGACATATATAGTAAGCATGAACAAAAATTATACTGCATTTGTGGAGTTAAGTAGTAAAGTCTTGTGAATAAGCATGGAAAGTATGCGTATTCTTAAAATAGGTGCAGTATGTAAAGTATGAGTCTGGTATTATTTCAGGATATAAATTAATGAGATGCTCCTGTTATTGCTGCTGGATCTGCACTCTTGTTCTAACGTTCATGTTATCAAATACTTCAGTGAGAGTGAAATACGGCAGCATGTTCACAGAGCTGGAGTTCAAAGAGCCAGGAACAAAAACGTATGGATGTTGTGAAAGTGAAGGATGAGTTTTCTTGGAAATCACGTGGGACAAAACCTGACAAGTATCTGAAATGTACACTGTATAAAGAAGAACAGGTACTTCAGAAGATGAGGTCTGACATATTTAAAATGTTTTACACCAACATCTGCAATTTCTTCCTTGCTGCAGAATTAAAAAAAAAAAGTTCCGTTGTCAGCAGGAGAACACCACCAATGCTGCTATCATTTGTAAACCAAAATTAAAAAAGACAAATTGTTTGGATTCTGAGTGTTTTCAAATGGGGCATGCCTTGTACAGTATCCTCTCTGAACTCATAAAAAGTAACTGTTCATAATCCAGAAGTGATGAGCATGAGTAACCTGACTGTTTAACTGTACAATCTTGTTGACTTTGAAGTCAGTTAAGTCAGGAAATGCATCTGTTTCCAGATGATTGTGTTTGGAGGAGTACCACTTTCTGTAACTTATTTTTGTGGTAATGACAGAATTGGATATCTGGGGTGGGTTTTTTGCCTGCTGTCCAGCAGTTCAGAGGAGAGCAGCTTAATGGAAGATGTGGGAAGAGAAGATGCTGATGTTCTAGGGTTTTACCAAGGGAGTTAAATCAAAGCTCAGTTAAGTATATCAATTTCAGTCATGTGATTTCTTTGTACAATGATATAATTGGACAGACGGAAGACTTCTTTCAGCTCTAGTGGAGGCAGTTGCACATATGTGTTCAGGGATAAGGAGGGGAGGAGACTGAATATTGCTGTCTTTCCTGGGACTTTTTGGCCAAAGCAGACAGAAGTTTGGAAAACTTACTGCTTTAAGCAAGAGGTGTTAAAGGATGGGGGAATGCCAATATACATGTTGGCAAATGTTCCCTGGGCAATAGCAAAATCCAGTGGTTTACTACTCAAACAAGGCAGCTCAGGTAGGAAGGCACAGTATAGAGAGTGAGCCCTATTAAAGCCATTTCTGGGCTGCCTAGCTTTATTGGTGAAGTTAATTTGGCACAAAGAAGAATGGATTAATGGATTTTTTTTGCACAGCCTGTGGAATTTTTCTTGCATTACAGGAAGATGCAGAGTTAGCTTGCAGTACTTCTCTTACAATGATACAAATGAAAAGTATTGAAAAGTGTAATAAGGGATGTTGTGGGTGTTTAGTTGCTGGATCTGGCAACCTGCATCTACATTCTTCAACTTAAAACCTTTAAGTAGCACCATGAGTAAAGAAAGCTTCATTATGGTCATTCTGTAAAGCATGGAGTCAAGGGGAGGAATCAGATCTGAAGATAAGCTGCATTTATTTAACAGCACTGACTACAAGTTCTTCCTCCAGTGAAAGCACAAATGTCATGTATTCTGCCTTGGGTTCACTAATGACAACCTTATCAGTATCTTGATCAGCATTTCAGCTTTATGATATAAGATAAATTTATTTATTTTAACATGTCCCTCCATGCTCAGTGTCTGCCAGGCATTGATTAGTATGGATAAGGTTTTGGGGTGTAAAACTACTGCTACATTTTCAAAGAAAGGAAACCTGGCAGATCTTTTCTGAGTTACAGACTAGAAGAGAAAATGTTTCAGAAACCATAACAACAGAAGTACTAAGATTGAACACTACTCCAACTCCCTTACCACCTCTCTCTTGGGGAGTTCCCCCATCCAATGGAATATGGAGTCTTTGTGCACTTCACCTCTTGTATTCAAAAACGAATCTGCAATGCTGAGTCCAGTACCTCTTTGTTGCAGCTGAGTAACTGAATTGACAATGTCTGAAACTGTCCTTAAGTTTTGAAACATAGCTGTTTTATTTCTGGCAGTCATTAGGATGGTGTGTGCATTACAAGTATAGAAGTAAAATCTATAAAAATAGTATACGTGCATGACATATAGATGTAAAAGGTGGAGAACAAAGAAACATGTTCTCCACCGTGTCATTGAATATTGAAAGGGATTTTTTTGTTCATATAGATAACTAGTATCTGGAAAATATCCCTTACTAAATAAAATCATTAGTTGGAAGGGATTTCCTGAGACTGATTAGGTGATTTCCTAACTTCCTGATTGAAGCAGGACTACTGCCAATGCTGGATCATCACTTGCTTACTGAAGCCTTGAACATCTCCAAGGGTAGAGAGTCTGCTACCTGTGTTTAATCAGTCTGTAGTTGCTCCCCTGTCTTAAAGAAGAATTTTATCCTAACATCTAATCTGTGCCTCCTAAGCAACTACTTCTGGCTGCTACTTGTTATGCTGTTGTCACGTCCCCAAAGGGTTTGACTCATCTTTGTAGCTGCTGTTCAGGTATCCATGCTATTAGATCTCCTCTTAGCTTCCACTTTACCAGACTAAACAAGTCCAGCTCCCAAACCTGTTCTCATAAGTTACTTGCCCTGTGTTGTTTCTCTTGGTAGCCCTTGCGCTGGACCGTCTCTGGTTTCTCCACATGCCACTTGAACTGGAGAAGGATGGAACTAGACAGCCTCACAAGTCCCAAATAATGGAGGATAAGATATTCTGAAGTATGCTGCCTGTGCAGTATCTCAATATGGTGTTTGCCTAGTTTATGGGAGACAAGCTTTTGGCCAATATTCAGCTTAGAATTCATCACAACTCTGCGGTTCTTTTTGACAGTGCAGCTGCTCAGTCAGCCAGATCCCAGCCTGTGCTCAGGAATGGGATTATTTCAGATGCAGGACTCTACACTTCTATTACGTTTCTTAAGGTTTCTTTAACCCTTAATGTTCTGAAGGTCCTGCTCACCTGAAGCTATGACATCAGTTGTATCCCCTAAATTACTGTTGTCTGTGAATTTGCCGAGGGTGTTCTATGTATCCTCAACCAGATTGTTAATGATGACGTTAATCGTTGTGGGCCCTGGAATCAGTCTTCGGGGTACTCTGGTGCTTACTGAACACCAAGAGGCTGGGCTGTTGATCGTTGCCCTTTGAGCCTGGTAGCCCAGCTGATTTTCAGCTCATTGGTCAGTCTGATATGCTTTAAGGGAAAATACTGTTGTGTTTTGGTTTTGAGATGCTTAAGAAATATAACTTACATTATTAATAGCATTACAAAGCCATGTGGCTAGTAAACGTGAATTAAATGCTAGCCTGGAAACCTGCTGTCGCTGAATGGAAGAGTGTCTTCAAGATCATAATTGCTTTTGTTAAACTTTTGTAGGCAGCAATGATAATATTTGCTAAATGCATCCTTTTAAAAACAAACAAACAAAACCAACTCAAACCCCCAAACTGCTACCTTTGGTGATAGTAGTAGCTACAACTTGATTTTTAACTTGACCATATCTGTAAACTTCAACCATGTTAAGGCAGACTGCACTGTGAACTGCTTCTGGCGCAATTCTCTGCAAATACAATTTGTTCCTAGAAGTAAACAGAAAATAAAGCACTAAAAATATTTCACGGGTGCCTATTTGTGTCACTTAGCATTTGGCCACATTGTCAGTCTGCAGATGCTGGACCTGGAATCTAACTTGGGCTTCAGGCACTAACTGAGCAACTCTGAAATTAAGTAATTTTCGTACTTGCAGTACCTGGAGCTGGCGCAATTCTCTGCAAATACAATTTGTTCCTAGAAGTAAACAGAAAATAAAGCACTAAAAATATTTCACGGGTGCCTATTTGTGTCACTTAGCATTTGGCCACATTGTCAGTCTGCAGATGCTGGACCTGGAATCTAACTTGGGCTTCAGGCACTAACTGAGCAACTCTGAAATTAAGTAATTTTCGTACTTGCAGAGTACCTGGAGATCTTCTTTTGTTCATGCGACCAGAAACTTTGAAGCTTTTTACTGAAAAACGTGGATAATTTATTGTAAGAAATCAAGGGAGATATGCTTTCTCGTACCCCTCCCTTATGTTAATATTGCAGAGTTGTTTGCAAAATGTTTACAACTCTGATTTGAGTTACAGCTTTGATATGTATCTAACTGCCTATCTTGTGCAGGAGGAGGAGAAAACCGTTGATGTATACAACATGTTGTATTTGCCATGACTATGGAAAACTTCTTCACTTCAAAAATAGGAATTACATGGGCAAATACATAGTTTAACTTAATCTTTCATTTTTTCCAGTAAATGAGTACTGGTGTGTCATCTTGTTTTAATCTTGAATGCTGCAACTTAAAAAATACTGAGAACATCATTGAAGTGCACTTGTTGTGTGTCTTTATGGATTTGAGGGAAGAGGGGGCAGGGGAAAGAAGTTCCAAAGGAAGGGAGTGGAAGTACCTTTACAAAAGCACATCTAAAAATTCACTCCAAAGCTCTGAGTGATTAAAAATACATACAGAAGCCTATGTAAAAGAAGATGCTAGTCTGTATGCAGTTTAATGACTTTACGTATTGTCTCTGGGACTGTGTTTAGTCTCTAAATGTTTAGACCAGAAGTTTTTTGTCAGGTACCTGTAACACAGATTGACTGTCATGCAGAATACTGAATAGTTGAAATAATTGAAATAACTAGGCAATATGAAAAGCACTTAAAAATCAAAGAAGAATTGAATACTCTATGCTTCTGTGACATTCATGGGTTTGGTATATGGTGTTGGTGGGGAAGGGGAGTGGAAATGAAGACTTTTTCTTACTTAAAGCAGTAAAGTTACAAAAGGAAAGCGTAGCAAGATGGAATACTGCTATTGCTGAGCCTATATTAAACTGTAAAATGAAGATAACTTCAATTCTCTAACTTGTTTGGATGGTCTGCTAGGTACTTAATAAAAGCAAGTGAGAAGAAGTAGTCTGACTGTCAAACTATTATCCTAGGTCCTCCAGCTCCAGTCCGAACTCCGATGAAGTATGAAACACAGAGACCAGGTAGCTGAATATAAATGAGCTAATGTCCTTTTCAGATGCAACTTTGGAATCGGTGGGTTTGTTTTAATGATGACCAAAGCAGGTGGTTGGTTATGGTTTAGGAAGAAGCAATGCAAGTTACCAAACATTTGAACCATTGTCTTTTCATTTGTGCACTGGTTAATTTATGTAAGGAAAGATCCTAGGAGAATATGAAGCTACGAGTATTTTCACAGAAAGACTTTCAAACTTGAGACTTTATAGTTTCTTTCTTCCTGATTAGCTGATAACATCTGGTATCAATGAATCTCGCTAATGTGTTTTTAGCTGGTGAAGTTTTCAACAGAAAATTTTGCAGCACGCATGTGTGTACACGTACGATACAGTGAAAGTTGGACAAAACAAAAGCATATAAACCAAGAACAGTATGGGTTGTTTATTATCAAGATGATATTAAGACAAGAATATTTAGTTGTATGTTAGGAAGCAAGAAGAAGGTGGCCATTACCTTGTAGAGACCTTTAACTTTTTTCTGCATGGATCTTTCCATATTAAGCCCAAAAGACCCCACTGTCAGCTTGGGAACGGGCAGCTCACACTGAGAGCTACTGCACAGACACACAGATGCACAAGAACTGCATAATACATTTAAGTGTTGGTAAAAATCTTTCTATGGAGACTTATTACGTGGCACCAACTTGTTACATGTCACCTCTGTCACGCTATGCTACTGCTGCATGTCACCTCAGACAAAAAAAACAAAACAACAGAAAAAGCTTTTAACAAGACTGTGAAGTTTTGGTGGGAATGGGCCACACTGTTCCCATGACAGGAGGTGTCCCATCAGGTATTTTCTACCACAACAAAATTACAAGAGGTTTTCCATATAAATTAATGCTGGAACTTTGTGATTTTTTTTCTGTGTGCAGCCCTGGAGTTTGACTTGATGGCAGCACAAGCATATTCCTAATGGAGTGAATATTTAGGAACAAGCACAGAATTCCCTATCCTTCTGAAGTTTTGTGGGTGTTTTTGTTTTTTTTTTTAAACCATAACCTGGCATACTAGGGGGAAAGAATACAGTAACATACTGTTCAGTGCTTGTGGTATTTCTACTTGTTTGCTCCAATTTGAAGAAACTAGCAGTGTTTATGACTCTTATGAAATTAATCAGACAGTAAAAATACAGCTGTATGTAATTAAGAAGATGCATTCTATTTCTGCACATTTTTTTCTCAGATTAAAAATACGTATTTTAACACTTCAGCATGCTCTTTTATAATGGCCAACATGTGAATACCCTTAATACCTCTTCGAGATTGTTTTGCAGATACATTTAGCTGAACTTTGCTGGTGCTCCGAGTTGACCAGGAATACTTTAATACAAGTGTTCTAGGCAGTGCAAAAACCAAGCTAAAACTCAGTGAGGAGCGAGATACAGCCCTGATGGAAACACTGCTAGTTCAGACTCAGGAACATACTACCTGTGGTTGCGCAGCTTCTGGTCTGCCCAGAGTACAGGAGGTGTTTGCTGTATTAGTGAAGATTATGTGTTCTTTCTTAGACTTAAGGCAATATGATTCTTGAACTTCAGACTCCAAACAAGCAGTCTCAGTATGCTATATGAGTGTTAGGGTTTTAGGGGAAGGAGGAGGTTGGTGGCTTGGCTTTTTTTTTTTTTCTTTTTTTTTTTTTTAATGAGAACTGACATGGACTGGGGCATGCTATGAATGTGAACTCGGTATCTTTCATCAGTAAATTGGATTGTGTTAGAAGGTCTATTTTGCTTATTTGGTTCTCTTCTTGAAGACATTAATTCCTTGCGTGTAAAATTGTTATGGAAAACAGAGAGTGTTGGAGTCTTTGTGTGAGTGACTGAGGTCTTTCCCATTTTCCTTATGCATTTCAGAGTGAAAATTAATTTTGTCCCCCTTAAGTCTCCATTAGAAACTCCTTTAAGATCATAGAAATTACGTGCAAACTGTCTAATGTGTAATACCTCTTTATGTGTATATTTTTTACTTTAGTGAAGAGAGGACTCACAAAGGACATAACCTGTCTGAAGGATTTTATGAATGATCCCAAAAGAGAAGAACCTCTAGTTGGTATGTTATTTTGTTTTCTAAATGGTATGTCTTTGAATTTGTGACCAAATGGCTTTTGTTTTGAAATAAAAGGTGGAATTTTAGATATTGTTTTATTTCCTGTAAATGTATTGAATAATTTGTAAGATACGTCTTATCTCTTAAACCTTTTAAAATTTAGCTTATTACACTAAGTACTATAAAGGCCACCTTTTTTATACACGTAAATTGTTAGACAACATTTTCCTGAAGGAGCCATCTTAGTAAAGAAGCTTTTCACAGATCACAGAATGGTTGAGGTTGGAAGGGACCTCTGGAGGTCATCTGGTCTTAAGCCCCTGCTCAAGCAGGGTCACCCAGAAGAGGTTGCCCAGGACCACGTCCAGACGGCTTTTGATTATCTTCAAGGTGGGAGACTCCATGACCTCTCAGGGAAACCTGTGCCAGTGCTTGGTCACCCTCACAGTCAAAGGTGTTTCCTGATGTTCTGGCAGAATCTCCTGTGTTTCAGTTTGTGCCCATTGACTCTTGTCCTGTCATTGGGCACCACTGAAAAGAGCCTGGCTCCCTCTTCTTTGCCCCCTCCCTTCAGGTATTTATACACGCTGATGAGATCCCCTCTTGGCCTTCTATTCCCCAGGCTAAACAGTCCCAGCTCTCTCAGCCTCTCCTCATAGGAGAGATGCTCCAGTGCCTTCATGATCTTCATGGCCCTTCGTATGTCCATGTCTCTTGTACTGGGAAGCCCAGAACTGGACACAGCACTCCAGGCGTGGCCCTACTGGTGCTGAGGGTGGATCATCTCCTTCAGCCAGCTGGCAACACTCCTTCTTGTGCAGCCTAGGATACCATTAGTCTTCTTTGCCACAAGGGCCCATTGCTGGCTCATCTTCAACTTGGTGTCCACCCAGGTCCTTTCCTGCCAATCTGCTTTCCAGCTGGTCAGCCCCCAGCATGTACTGGTACCTGGGCTTGTTCCTCCCCAGGTGCAGGAATTTGCACTTACTGTTGTTAAACTGCATGAGGTTGCTTTCAGCCCAACTGTCCAGCCTGTCAAGGTCCCTCTGGATGGCAGCACAACCCTCTGGTGTATCGACCTTCCCTCCCAGTTTTGCATCATCAACAAAGTTGCTGAGCGTATGCTCTGCCCCATCATCCAGATCATTAATGAAGATGTTCAACAGGACTAGAGCCAGTATTGATATCTTAATTTTGCATTCACCACGCAAATTCTGCTCGAGACCCCTAGCATGAATCCAGGGTCTGGTTGCATCCGACCCACTTAGAGTGCATGAACTGGTGCACAGAATCATCCCTTCCCTTTCTAAAATGGGTCTTCACCTCTCTGTCTGCTTATATTCCTTTATTTCACCTCTTGTTGACTCCATCCCTTCATCTGGCTCCTAAACTTAACATCCTCTTCTGACTTGCAGGCCTGGTCCCACCCTGGCAGGTCCCAGTCCTCCCTGCAAGGACCTTGTCCAAACCCAACCTTTCCTCCCAGTCTCCCTCCCCAGGGCCTTTCCTGGCTCCGGCCATGCACCACACCTGCAGCTGATCTGCCTCAGATTATTCCCCAGATATCTCCCAATTTTCTCTAAGGCTGCAGTCAGAATCCCTCCATGTTCCAGCGGCAACTGCTGCTCTTCCCCAGCGCTGTAGAGCAAGCACTAGTTTTGAGAAGAAAGGGCTGATTTTATGTGGGAGCTGCAGATTTTTTGCTTTTTTTTTTTTTTTCTTTTTTTTTTTTTTAATGAGAACTGACATGGACTGGGGCATGCTATGAATGTGAACTCGGTATCTTTCATCAGTAAATTGGATTGTGTTAGAAGGTCTATTTTGCTTATTTGATTCTCTTCTTGAAGACATTAATTCCTTGCGTGTAAAATTGTTATGGAAAACAGAGAGTGTTGGAGTCTTTGTGTGAGTGACTGAGGTCTTTCCCATTTTCCTTATGCATTTCAGAGTGAAAATTAATTTTGTCCCCCTTAAGTCTCCATTAGAAACTCCTTTAAGATCATAGAAATTACGTGCAAACTGTCTAATGTGTAATACCTCTTTATGTGTATATTTTTTACTTTAGTGAAGAGAGGACTCACAAAGGACATAACCTGTCTGAAGGATTTTATGAATGATCCCAAAAGAGAAGAACCTCTAGTTGGTATGTTATTTTGTTTTCTAAATGGTATGTCTTTGAATTTGTGACCAAATGGCTTTTGTTTTGAAATAAAAGGTGGAATTTTAGATATTGTTTTATTTCCTGTAAATGTATTGAATAATTTGTAAGATACGTCTTATCTCTTAAACCTTTTAAAATTTAGCTTATTACACTAAGTACTATAAAGGCCACCTTTTTTATACACGTAAATTGTTAGACAACATTTTCCTGAAGGAGCCATCTTAGTAAAGAAGCTTTTCACAGATCACAGAATGGTTGAGGTTGGAAGGGACCTCTGGAGGTCATCTGGTCTTAAGCCCCTGCTCAAGCAGGGTCACCCAGAAGAGGTTGCCCAGGACCACGTCCAGACGGCTTTTGATTATCTTCAAGGTGGGAGACTCCATGACCTCTCAGGGAAACCTGTGCCAGTGCTTGGTCACCCTCACAGTCAAAGGTGTTTCCTGATGTTCTGGCAGCATCTCCTGTGTTTCAGTTTGTGCCCATTGACTCTTGTCCTGTCATTGGGCACCACTGAAAAGAGCCTGGCTCCCTCTTCTTTGCCCCCTCCCTTCAGGTATTTATACACGCTGATGAGATCCCCTCTTGGCCTTCTATTCCCCAGGCTAAACAGTCCCAGCTCTCTCAGCCTCTCCTCATAGGAGAGATGCTCCAGTGCCTTCATGATCTTCATGGCCCTTCGTATGTCCATGTCTCTTGTACTGGGAAGCCCAGAACTGGACACAGCACTCCAGGCGTGGCCCTACTGGTGCTGAGGGTGGATCATCTCCTTCAGCCAGCTGGCAACACTCCTTCTTGTGCAGCCTAGGATACCATTAGTCTTCTTTGCCACAAGGGCCCATTGCTGGCTCATCTTCAACTTGGTGTCCACCCAGGTCCTTTCCTGCCAATCTGCTTTCCAGCTGGTCAGCCCCCAGCATGTACTGGTACCTGGGCTTGTTCCTCCCCAGGTGCAGGAATTTGCACTTACTGTTGTTAAACTGCATGAGGTTGCTTTCAGCCCAACTGTCCAGCCTGTCAAGGTCCCTCTGGATGGCAGCACAACCCTCTGGTGTATCGACCTTCCCTCCCAGTTTTGCATCATCAACAAAGTTGCTGAGCGTATGCTCTGCCCCATCATCCAGATCATTAATGAAGATGTTCAACAGGACTAGAGCCAGTATTGACTCCTGGGGTACACCGCTAGCTACTGGCCTCCAACTAGACTTCATGCCACTGGTGACTTGTCATCTGGTGATTCTTTGTGGTTTTCCATTTGGTGGGATATACAGGTGTTTCTGTCTAGTGAGATATTTTTCCTCACTGTCTTTGGGAATACTAAAAGTAATGAGAATGATTTTAAGGTTTTCTTTCTTTCTAATTGCTAGATTAGGCAACCCTTAGGAGAGGATAAGTATTGCTACTTGAAAGTGGCCTTAGTGTTCCTAGTATGTGCTGGTGGCCTAGAGAAATATGTTCCCTGACAAAGAGCCAAGTAGCAAATTTCCTCATATTAGCAGAGAATTTCTCTGTTTAGTGAATTGGCTTGCTGTTACTCTACATACAGTATTAATATTAAAAAGCATAGCGATTTATTATTATAAGCATTTTTACAGAAAAAGGTGGATAGCAGAATGTCACTTTCTTGTATACTCATTTCATTTGGTGATAGGTTTTTTTTTTCAGAGTTAAGATTTAGTAGTATAATACTGTAGTGGGTCTGAGATGGAGTTTAATTTCTTCATAGAAGCCTGTATGTTTTGGATTTGTGACTAAAACAGTGTTGATAACACACCAGTGTTTTGGCTGTTGCTGAGCAGTGCACAGAATCAAGACTGTCTTTTTTTCCACTCAGGGTCCCCACCCCTCACCCCTTGAGTAGGCTGGGGGTGGGTGAGAGACTGGGAGGGGACACAGCCAGGACAGTCGACCCAAACTGGCCAAAAGGATATTCTGTACTACATAATGTCATGCTCAACAATCACAGCTGAAGTAAAGGAAGAAAAAGGCGGGGGCTGGGGGGGGGCGGGCAGTGTTTGGCTTCCAAGGTGGCTGGCTGTCCATCAACTGGCTGGGTATTGGCCTGCTTGTGGGGAGCCGAGTGACTGGTTTTCACATGGGGTTTTTTTTGCTTTTTTCCCCTCTTTCCTTCACCTGTTAAACTGTCTTTATCTTACCCCATGAGTTTTCTTACTTTTGCTCTTCCAGTTTTCTCCCCATCCTGCTGAGGGGTGTGTCTGTGAGTGAGCAAGCAGCTGTGTGGTGCTTGGCTGCTGGCTGGGGTCAACCCATCACAAATACGCAGTATTGGAAATTATGATAATAGGGAACAGCTGCAGGTTTTTCCTGTTTGTTTTGAGCTGCTTATAATCTTGTTGCATTTAAGCTGTTCCGAGTAAAATTTTTCATGCTAGGTATAAGCCTCAAACTTGGAAATTTCTGAATACTTCTAAGGCATAGTCTTTCAGTCATTTCTAGGAAAAATGAAAAAAAATCCCATTTTCCTTCCTGTAATTCTTAAAAGTTTGTGGAAAATTTTTAGATTATGAAGAACTCAGTTTTGTGAAGTGATTATTGTCTTTTCTACACGTGCTTTGTGCTACTCGGACACTGACCAAATTATGTTTGACTAAGTAGTTTAAATGCAGTTTTTCAATCTAGACCTTTGCGTGGCATTTCCTATCCTCATTCTCTTTTTTATATGCACTTCTCCGTGAATTCTCTTACATGACTGTATTGAATGGAAGGCTCCTTTTCAGTTTCTTAAAAAACTCCCAGGCAGGAAAAAAGGTGCATGAAATATTTTATTTTGGTGGGCTTGCAAATCTGCCATAGACAGTGTTTTTCCTTTCAGAATAAAGCATTGTAAAGGGAGACATTTAATTGATGTGGGTAATAAGTCCAAAGAAGTGTTGAAGTGATCCTGAAGAATTGTTGAAATTCTGAAAATGGAATACTTTTATTTATTAATTTTGGCTTTTAGTGAGCAACATTGAAGAGAATACATTTGTTTATAGTAGTCTATACTAAAATACAGATATTTGTAACTCTTGCTTTTACAGGTTTAGAACACGTGGTTGAAATCAGATTTGAAGGAAGAAAAGAGCCGCATTATGAGTGCAAGCTGTGTGGGTTTAATACAGAGATGGCACCTATGATAGAACATCTTAGCGGATATAAACACAGAAGAGCATACATTGTGAGTAATTTTGATGCGTGTTGATCACAATTTCATTATGATACTCCCCTTTTATTTCTTTTCTATAAATACTTACATCAAGTTTGAAGTTTAAATACCCATATGATAAATTGCTAATACTTGTATGGTTGACTCTTCATGGGTCAGATCAACATGAATAGCTATGAAGCTGTGAGCTATTGAGGAAGTGTGATCCAGAGGTGCGTGTCCATATCTGCTCAAAGTCTGTTCCTAAGTGTTTTGATTGCCTCCAGGATCAGGTTCCTAGAACATTGTGGTTCTTCCTTATTCCTCAGCATGCCCATAGCATTGCTGGGTGTGGTACAGAGCATGTTACCTTTTGGTAGCAAGCTTTGCATGGTATCAGTTTTTTATTTTGAAGACTACTTAAGCAACTTTAACATTAAAATTTAATTAGTTGTGTTACAGAGAAGAGACTAGCTCGTAATGTTCAAAATGATGTTTACCAGTCTTTTGGAAGCTTGTCCAAAAGGTGAAATGTGCCAATTTTTTAGTATTGTGATGAATTTTGATATTGACCATTTCAAGCTGTTTTTGTCAACAGTCTAAAGAATTTCCAGATAAAATGAAGAGAAAGACAACAGATGTAAAAGAATGCAAAGTCTCATTTCTCAGACGGATAGCAGGAGAGCTGGAGAAGACTGAAGGATTAAAAATGTATAAGGTAATTGGAAGTAAATGTAAAGTATCCGGTAATGTGTCTTTTATCAGTGCATTTATGTTTGACCTAGTAAACTTTAAAAGTACTGCTGACAAAGCTTGTTAAATTTCTGTGTGTTTCTATGAAGTGTGGTATTCAATTGAACTAAGGCTTAACTTAAAGTTGCCCTAAAAAATCTGGGGAAATTTTATTTATTTACTTCAATGGTTTTTAATTTTCACAACTTAAATTTTCTCAAATGTATTCTCTCAAATATCATTTATATTTACAAGTTTATATATCTATAAAATTATGGGCTACACTGTTCTGGGATAAATAAAAGTACTTGTTCTGTTTCTAAAGGCAGCTGCAGTAGAGACTGTTGTTAAGAAATTTTAATCAGAAAATCCATTATTAAACTATTTCTATTCCTAGATTGAAGGTTACATAAGACCAAGTACCTCACGTAAGTCTATGAATTACCTGAATATACTAGATTTGACATAATTGATATTTAGCCTAATTTGAATTAGTAGTTGGCTCAGAGGGTTTGACTGATATAAAACATTCAACTTGCAATAGCACAAAATGTTTTCAGAGATTTTCCAGTTTTTGTGAATTTGAAATGAGGGAAGAAGGGAATTGCCAGACTTGCAGTGTTTCTTAGTAATTTTTTAACTACTTGGTTCTGGTGGGTTTCTCTGAATAAGCTGTTAAAGCTCATTTCAGTCATCAAATGACATACACGCTGAATCACTGGTAAAAGTGGAAGTTACAGTTCTTTAGCAAGTCCATTGGAACAAGCAATGGAAACCAAACCCTAAAACATAAAACCAGCATCTTCCCTCATACAGTATGTTTGAGTTATGTCTTTTGTTACTGTAAATGTGCTGTTGATACTTAATGATGCCAACCTGAAGAAATTCCTACTTGCTACCTTTTGACCCTAGTATTAATATCAGTGGGAAGGTAGGTTTGATTGAAATGGGTGAAGGTTACATAGATCAACAGAGTTTGTCAGTGTGAATCCTGCTGTAGGTGACTACCGTAGCAGTGGGTTTTTTTGGATTGATCATTGGTGGCTTCTGTGGATTGTACCTTTTAATGTTGGCCTGCAGAACAAGGTGGCAGAGACCCTTTTTGAGCTCCGTTTGCCTCTCTTGTGAAGAAGAGGGAATGTGACCCAGTAATCTAGCTCAGTAATTCTCAGTTCAGAGTAAATTGACATCAACACTTACTGACTTCTGTAGAACCGGAAGACATGCTCAGATATCAAACTGGAACATCAGAAAGAGTGATCCCACCCAGTCCTACAGGATATGAAGAACTGGAGGAACAGACAAGAGTGAAGTTAGCTGCAAAAGTGTTGTGTCACTCAGTATTAAGTTTTGCTCTGGTTAGGTGGTAAGGGCAATATCAAGTGAATTCCAAAATAAAAATACTCTAGTTATTTAGAAGAAAATCATGCTTACTGGTTTAGCAGCTGTGTGTCTTTAGACTAGATCATATTGGCAGAGAATGACAATTGTCTTCTGACAGCGAGAGTGAGTTTGAGGATATGATTAAGGAAGGCCATTTGGTGGCATGTACTACTTTGCAAGTGGCAAAACGGACATTAACACCAAATTTTGGCTGCTGCAAAGTTCATATGCAAAACTAAGATAAAGTTATGTATTCTTTTATATATATGCACACACACATGTATGTATGAGAGGCCTTGAAGTGATTGATTTGTTACTTTTCTTAAAGGAAAAAATTACAGTGTTTCTTTATTCTCTAAAGAAGAGAGATTATCTGTATTTTGTCTTGGGCTTCAGATTAAAAATACTATCTTATTAAGGTAATTCCTATAATCAGTTACTCAAAGTAGGGAGTTGAGCTTGAAGGTCTTATGACACCATGTATAAGCACAGTGTGGTAGTATAACCTATGAAGTTCTAGTCTAATTTAGTCTCTGAATTCTGCCTGTGTCATTTTTTTTTTTCCTTTCTAAAAACTACTCTTAATGCTGCTGCAGAGTACAACAGCAAACTGGAAATAAGTCCAGAGATTTACTTTGCTATATTTTGGACCAGGCTTTTCAGATTGAATTATTGCTTCCTTGAAGTTATAGCAGATACCTGGAGAAGCTTCTCTGTATCTTCAGTGGGGAAGTGATAACTCCGTGCATCAGTACAGGATGGGAAGTGACAGACTGATCAGTCTTGCTAAAAAGGACTTGATGGTTATGGTGGATGCCAAGCTGAATATGAGCCAAGAGAACGCTCTCATTTCACATAAGGCAAAGCTCATATTGTGATACTTCAGGAGGAGCACAGGCAGCAGATTGAAGAACAGTCTTATCCCCTACTATTTGATACTGGTAAGACCAACTTGGAATGCTGTGTCTAGTTTTGTTCCTTCTAGTTCAAGGGAAAGATGGAGAAATTGGAGAGGATCCAGCAGAGGATTATGAAGATTCTCAGGGGTCAAGAGCATGTACCTAGGATGAGGGTTAGAGGGAGCCGGGCTTGTTTAGAATGGGAAAGAGGAGGGTAAGGGGTGATCTTGTAACTGCCCTTCAAGCAGTAGACTGCTACAAAGATGACAAAGGCAAAGTTGTTGGTAATTGCAGGCAATGTAACAAGAGATGGCAGCCACAGATGGCAGTTTGAGAGGCTGAACTCAGGAAAAACTTCTTTCCTAGAGGGTTGTATAGCACTGGAACAGGTTATCCATAGGGAGTGAACTCTTCATCCTTGGAGATTTTCAAGACCTGGCTATGCAAAACTAGAATCTTATGTTGGCAGTAGTCCTACTTCAAGTGGGAGGTTGGACTAGATGGTGGAACTGGAAGTCACTGTGTGGTCACAGAGCTATGACATCATCAGAATTGCAGAGATGTAGTGCAATAGCTTGTACGACTGGAGTGCTGTAATGGACGGATATGGGCTCCTTATGAAAGATGGCATAGCAGATGACAGTAGGAGTTTTGCTGGATGCAAGAGCACCTTTTCTTTATAGAGCCATGGCTGGTGGTTGTTGAGATCTTATGGGTCAGGACTAGGGGGAAGGCCAACAAGAACAACATCATGGTAGATGTCTGTCCCTCTTGAACAGGCAGTCTGTATCAAGGCTGTCTTTACATAATGGGAAGAAATCTCCCAAATGCAGGTCCCAGTTTTCTTGGGTGGACTGACTTTTGCTGGAAAAGCAGCATGGCAAGTTGCAAACAATCGAAAAGTGAGTCAAGGCCAGTTTTTCATGCAGGTGCTGGATGAGTCAACAAGAGGAAGTGTTTTGCAGAGAAGAAGAGTCAGGAATGTGATGATCAATGGCAGCCTTAGTTGGAGTGATCATGAGATGATACAGGTTAAAACCCTTTGGGGAATGAGGAAGTTACGTATCAGACTAATTCTGTTGGTCTTCAGGAGAACAGACTTCAGCTTCTTCAGAAAACTGGTAGTCAGGATCCCTTGAGAGGCTGCTTTGAAAGGAAAAGAAGCCCAAAAGAGCTAATCGGTCTTCAAGGAGAACCTCCTCAAAGAGCAGAAATGATCCATTCTGCTGTCCAAGAATATGGGCAGGCATAGCAGGTGGCTAGTGTGTTTGAACAGGGAACTCCTAGCTGATCTTAAATGCTACAAGGAAGCATACAGAGAACAGAAGCAGAGGCAGGCTGCCAAGAAGAAACGTATAAGAATTGCAGATGTATTTGGGGTGAAATTAAGAAGGCAAAGCTTGCCTGGAGGTGAAAGGAATATGAAGGGCAACAGGAAGGCTTCTGCAGGTATGACAGCAGCAAAAGAAGATGTGGTCCCCCTGCTGAGCAAGTAGCCTGGTGATGAAGGATGTGGAAGAGGCTGAGATATTTGTAGCTTTCCTCGCCTTGGTCTTTACTGAGAAGGTCTGCTCTCAGATCTTTGTGTGTAATTGTAAAGTTTAGGGGAGAATGGCATTACCCACTGTAGAGAAGGTTCAGTTTAGGGAAGAGCAAATTAAGCATGTACAAGGCCATAAGACAAAAAGGGATGCTTCTGGTGTTGAGGGAGCTGTTTGCTCTCTAAAGTCTTTGAAAGGTCATGGTGATCAGAGGAATTCCTTGGGGATCTGAAAAAAACCAAATGTGGTTATCTTCAAAATTAAAACGTGGCTACAGGCTGTCCCAGACCTTGTAAAAAATTATGGGGCAAGTCCTCATGGACATCATTTACTGGTGTGTGAAGGTCAAGAAGGTGACTGGGAATAGCCAATGTGGATTTACCAAGGACAAACTGGGTTCGACCAGCCTGATTGCGTTTTGCAGTGACATGGGTTGGCTCTGTGGACAGGGGAAGGAGGATGGATGTCATTTTAACTTTAGCAAAGCTTTCAGCACAGTCTCCCATGTTATACTTGCCACCAAACTGAGGAGATAAGGTAAGTCTACAGGGTAGATAAAAGGTGGCTGAACTGTTGGGCTCAAAGAGTAGTTGTCAGCAATTTTAAGTGTGTTGGCCAGTTACTAGTGGCATTCCTCGGTGGTTTCTCCTGGGGCCAGCACTGTTTAGCATGTTCTTTAGTGACCGGCATAATGGGATAGAATACACCATTGTCAAATTTGCAGATAACGTCAAATTGGGGGAATGCCTGGTATGTGGTAGAGCAAGACTGCCATTCAGAGGGATCTCAACAAGCTGGTGAAATGGGTTGTCAGAAACCTCCTGAAGTTCAGCAAAGGTACATGTGAAGTCTTACACCTGGGATGGAGCAACACCCTGCTGGATACAGACTGGATACTATTGGGCTAGGGAGCAAATCTTACGAACCTGCAGGTTTTGATATACAACGGTATGAACATGAATTAGCGATGCACTCTTGATGTAACGAAGGCTAACAGCATATTGGACTGCATTAGCAAAAGTGTAGCCAGCAGGTTGAGGGAAATGCTTATTCCCTTCTGTTCAGGACTCATTAAGCTGCTTCTGGAATACTGTGTCCTGTGTACAGGAGAAATTTTGGTGAACTGGAAAGAGTCAGCAGAGGACTCACCAACTACAAAAGATCACAAGGAGACTAGAGCATATGATGTGGAGGACAACTTTAGGGACCTGGATTTGATTACCTTGCGGAAGGCAGCAGCTAGGGAAGGGATCTAATTGCTGTCTTCCACTACCTAAAACATGGCTACAGAGAAGGAGCCAGACTTCAAGAAGGTGCGCAGGGAAAGAACATGGCAACATTCACGGGCTGCAATAAAGGAAATGCTGATTGAACATTCAGAAGGTTCTGCACAGTGAGTAGTCAAGCACTGAAATTGCCTGCCCAAAGAGGTGGGAAATTGCCATTCTTGAAGACTTAGAAAACTCAACTGGACTTGGGCTTAAGCAGCCTGATCTAATCTTGAGGCTAATCATTGTCAAAGTGAGCAGAACTTCAGTTACTAGCTTGAGTAGGGTGAAGTATCCAACCACTGAGTAGCACTCCTTGTCTCCACCCATCTTCTTTTCAAATGGTGGATTTTGGAGGCTTACTGGAAAAACAGCACAGGTTGAATAATTCAAGGAAAATTATTTTAATTGTCATTGTCCTCATCTTACAGTTAATTGTTTGGTTTCTGTTACTTACCACCTCTGTGGTACTTTTCTCTTACCTCTCAGGCTGGACTAGATGACCTCCAGAGGTCCCCTCCAACCTAAACTTTTTTATGATTCCGTGATTCTACCTGCAGAGGTCTCTCCAATCCTACGTTTCCATGATTCTTACTTCATTGGATATCTTCTGTGAAATGGTGGCAGTCCTTTTCTCTCCTGACATTTGGAAAACTTTGGGACCTACAGTGCAACTTCTTGTTGCAACTCATCAGTATGTGTTCAACATCAGGTGGTTAAAACAGTAACACGAGTCTTTCAGCCTCATATTGTAGGGGCAAAGATGTCATTTGTCCTGAGAATTATTACTTATCCTGCTGCTTATCCTGGAACACCTGTGCTAATAAATACTTAAGAAGTGATAAGTTATGTACCATGCATTAGCTGATTCTCTGAAGCATAGCTACTGTCTTAAACAGACTACCTTGTTTTACTGAGCTTTCCCTCCTTCCTCATGCTTATACACTGTACTGGCAAGAGAGATGATTAGACATTCTAATCTTCATAACTTCTTGTTGGAGACTGACCTAGAATAAGTGCAACGTTGAGGTACACTGGTAGGTTCACAGAAAAAAATACAAAAACCTTTTCACTTTTTGCATAGAGGAGGCGTGCTGACCTCAGTTCAGTCCACACTGACTTCTTGTGTGGAATTCAGTTGCCTGAACATAGATGCTGTAGGGTACCCTGCAAAGCTGTTAGGGCACAAGACTCCCATAGTCCTTTCATCAAGGATGCCTGTTGGTTTCTAAAATGGCCGTATACGCCTAGATTTTGGCTGCTGAATCCTGCCCTTTAAAAAAACTGCAGCCACTTTAGGGCCAGTAACTGTTCTGTTTGTGTAATGCTTTTATTGCAGTAATACAGTGGAAACCCTATCATGTTGCTAATAATTCTTTTTAATTTTCTAGCCCCATCAAAGAAGAAAGCAAGGTGAGAATACAACCCCCACAGGGGAATCAAAAGAGAGTTGGGTTTTTTTTGAGGTCTCTTTACTTATTACATAGATCTTCTTTTCTGTAACAAGCGTTGTCACGTAAGGGGAAAATATTTTATATTGTCTTTCCACTGTACTTCTTCCTCTTGTGTAAATTGTTCCTTTCTGTCCGTGAGGAAATAACCTGAAATAAAATTTGCTATTCAGTTTGTAACTAGCTATGGCTTTTGAAATACTACAGTGGTTATGCAGTTCAATAGCAATCTGATGTACTCACACACATGATCTCTTTGAGAGTCACTCAGAATAAGGACCTTTAACAAATACAGTATTGTAGATATGCCATAGAAAAAGATATCCTGTATTGGTAAGTTAAATTGGTAAATTTGGAAATTGAAATATTTTGATTCTAGTTACTATGAGTAAACCTGACTTCTTAGTAATCTTTAGAATGCATCTTAATATTTTCATTTCTTTCTTTTTAAGGTGGGAAGATGATTATAAGCGTGAGGTATGTAGAGGTAGTAATTCTGCAAGTGTCTTATGTTGTAGCAGTTACCTTATGCTTGCTTTTAATTTTTCTGAAAAACTTTTGTTCTTTGGCTTCATTTGCCATTTTATTAATATCATTCCAGAAGCAAAATAACTGACCTAATGACCAGAGTTTTGTGTTCATCACAGCAGAAGGAAAATGAATACTGTACGTCAGGATGCTCATCCACCTTAGCTCTCATAATTCCTGTTCAAAGTCACTGAGAGTCTCAGACCCAGTGTCTGCAGGCCAGGTCTCCCAACCTGTGCTGCAGTCTGCACTTCTCTGTTTTGCCCCTCTTCAGATCAAAGGTATTCTGTACTGAAGATTTGGTTTAAATTTTACGATATATCTAAAGATGTACAATCCTTTTTTCTAACTCAAAGGTGAAACCCAAAGTGATCTCCCAAGTGTCTGTCCTGAATAGCACTGGGCACAAACACTGAGAACTGCCTCATTTTTATCTTAGTGGCAGAGATTATTTTGTAATCTGATGTATTCTGTGGTGATGTCTTGCTCTTTTAGGCCTGAGGCTGGTCAGGTACTATGCTAGATGCAGGTGGGCCCTTCACTTTTTTTAACCATGAGGTTGGACCTGAGTGAGGAAAGCCTGGGAAAGATAGCTCTTGTAGGTATGTAGCTTAGATGTGAAATGTGTTCTTCCCGGTATTGGAAGTAATGCAGTTGCATTTGTAGTAGCTGCTACCTAATTGCTGTTGAGGCCCTAACATTATATGTTTATGACTGTGACCTAAAATTACTGTCTTTTCTTTGCATTGACTTTTGTTGTTGGATAAAAGATTAAAAGGTCTTTTTTGTAGAAGATGATGCAACAAATACTGTAGTATTCAGTCTTTTAATTTTTCTTCCCCGTTCTACAATCCCACAGAATGATCCTGTTCGGAAACAGAAGGCTCTAGAGTTCTTGGTATGTATGTAAAATAATTGTGATGTGTCATGCAGTTTCACCAGTATGATGCAATGAATATTGTGAAGGAACCTCTGATTACTGATCAAACTCATTTGACCACAGCATTAATTTCTAAGTTCTATTTTAATGGACTCTGCTCTTTGAAAAGCTGGTGCAGCTGTAGCATAATGTCAGCTCAGAACAACTTGCTGGATTAAATGTGAGCTCTCTCCCTGTTCTCTGGATCATTCTTCCCTGTGCTGAGGAGCCACGCTGACAAGCAGTGTTAGCAGCACTGATGTTGCTCAAGTGCTGTTGGCTGCCCATAGCTAATGGGATTGTTGATAATGCTGAATGAGAGGAGGCAGTCCGGTCTTGCTGCCTGTGGTGGTGTGGCTAGTGCTGCTGCTGCAGAACTGGACAGCCAAGTGAGACTGGGTGATACTAGAGCACAGCTGCTGGTGTTGGAGTGGGGAAGTTTTATCAGTTCAGTTGCTGTTAGCAGTGGCATAGCAAGCCTCGGTTTGTCTTTTGGATTTATGTTGTGAAAATACCTGACCATTTATATTTGCCGTTTTACTCCATGAAAGTCAGGTTCTGTACGTAAGGCAATTACAAAATTTAATTTGAGTCTGAATTGTGTTTATACACTGAAATCACAAGTAGAATGTTTTGAGATGTGCTTCATTACCAGCTGAAGAGATTTTGTTTCTCTTTCAATTTTTCTTCTTTTTTTTCTTTTAAGCTGTGGTTACTTGTGACTTTAGGAAGAGGTAGACAAAAAGCAAGTCTGGGTATAATCAGTAAACTACCAAAAATGCTTGGCAGACGCTTAATTGATTTTTATCTACAGGAATCACAGCTATTTCTTACGGCAGACTGCCTATATTCTTTTAACTTACTGTAATCACTTATAACTTTATATACTTACTAATCAGTCTCTTTGGACATTAAAAAGACAGATAGCCGTAATTGTTCTGCACTTTATAGAATTATATCAATATCTTTTGATATCTCTTATTCCCAAAATTACACACAGGAAAATTATAATGGAAACGTTCATCTTTTTATTGCTAAAATGGGGGAATCAAAGGCATTTGATCGTGCTGAAGCTTACTTTTTATTCAATTTTCTACACAGACAACATAAATTTAGGACTTGTGCCCTTCTCCATCTGCAACGAAATGTTCATGATTGACAGTATGGGAGTGGCACAGACATCCAGGGTTGTGTTTTACCTCTTAACCAGGCCATAATTATGTTCACATTTTTATTTTTTCATACACGCGTGTGTGTATATGTATATTATATATGTCATATATCAACTAATAGTATAAACTTGGTTATACCAAAATCAAAATATAACTTTGATCTGTTTGTGTATATGACTCTTCGGCATCCTAATGACCAATTCTAACCATGTTTTTCAACAGGAGACTTTTCACATCACCTCAGACTCAGAAGCAACACTTGTTGTTCATATTACACAGGAACTCACAGAAGCTTTGAAGGCCTTTTGTGAAAAAAAAGCAGCAGTAAGTAACTTAATCTTGACCAGAGCTGTTTTACCACTGGGAGGAAAGGAGTTGTTGAATTCATTGGCTTAACACCTGTTACGCCAAACTGTAACAGTTCAGGCATAGGTCAAAAACCCCCAGTTAAATATACTTCAATTTTTTTTACAATTTCTAAGTACCAAATACATTAATTGCGTGGCACATTTCTGTTAGTTTTCCATCATCTTCCATCTGTTTTGGTTTTCTTTTGCATGTGTTCTCCCCCTGTTTCGGGCACCATTTTGCTTCATGATGTCTGGTTGTCATGCTTCCTTTGCAGCTAGTCCCTTGCGTGATAGCTTTTCTTCTAAGATTGATCAAGTTTTAAGTGCTACCCAAATGTGTCACTTCTTTCTTTTGTGGGCGTGTGGATAAGTCTTTCTTACTGGTGACTTGTAGCTCTGCTCCCACTTGAGAGCTTTAATCTGTTAAGACTAAGGTAGATAAGAAGTTCCTGTCTTTCTGTTGGCCCTTACAAACCTCCATAGCTTTTTTGCATAAAAGCTGAATATGCATAGAAAAAAGGGTCTGAAGAAGGACCAGAATCTGTACAAAAATGACTCATCACCTCTGGCAGCTACTGGTTCACAAAATTCAGCACCTGTTTTTCTGAAAGATATTTCAGACTGGTTTCTTAGGCATTGATAATATATTCCATGTCAGCTGAGCTATGGTAACTGTCTTTGTCCAGATGCCACCACCACCTTTTTGAGAGCTACACTTTCAAAATGTCATGCATTTGAATGTAATACAGTTCTCATGAGCTAGTTAAAAATTGTTGTCATAACTTAATCTCAGGCAGTAGCTGAGCCTTCCATTCTGCATTCCCCAGCTTGAGACAGGTTTTGCATATCATAGAATCATAGAACGGTTTGGGTTAGAAGGGACCTTAAAGATCATCTAGTTCCAACCCCCCTGCCACGGGCAGGGACACCTTCCACTAGACCAGGTTGCTCAAAGCCCTGTCCAACCTGGCCTTGAACACTTCCAGGGATGGGGCATCCGTAACTTCTCTGGGCAACCTGTTCCAGTGCCTCACCACCCTCATAGTGAAGAATTTCTTCCTTATATCTCATCTAAATCTACCCTCTTTCAGTTTAAAGCCATTACCCTTGTCCTATCACTACATGCCCTTGTAAAAAGTCCTTCTCCAGCTTTCTTGTAGGCCCCTTTCAGGTACTGGAAGGCTGCTATAAGGTCTCCCCAGAGCCTTCTTTTCTCCAGGCTGAACAACCCAACTCTCTCAGCCTGTCTTCATACGAGAGGTGCTCCAGCCCTCTGATT